GATCTAATCTGGAAATCATTTCCCGAAACCACTCAAATCAAGTTCTTGCCTTCCATCACCAGCTGTAGGTCTGATGAACGCCACCGACAACCGTTCGAATCCGTTCTGACCGATGACCGGCCATGCAACAAAAACTCTTCGGGTCTGGTGCGGAACTGGGGATGCCGAATGGATCCAGGTTGAAGAAATGAAGTTCGCGCAAACGCTCCTGGACCCGAACCCTATGCAGGAGGGGTCTGGGTTCGAACTAATCCCTAAGGATTTGAGGGACCGGTCGGGCTGTGAACAGAGCATCTGGGTAGGTGCGTCTTCCAGGGGGTCGTTGCCTGGGAAGTCTCCTACTTTAAGGCACCCGTGCTGGGTGGTACCCTAAGTTTTGTTGTGGCGGGGTACACAACATCTTTAAAGTTAAAAGAATTGTTATAACATGATACAGTACTAATTATCCCTATTTGGATGCTGTAGAAAATGCAAAAGCGCGGACGCCAGCTTTTAACTTTAGGAACTGTCGAACCAACTTCTGTGCTTGAGCATGTAGTATTGTACATGGATGGTCATCACCCCAAAACTCGTTACGCTTTCTGCATGATGGCCGCCCTCCAGCACTGCGCTTCATTGAAAGACATCCTTGTCCTCCAACGTGCCATAGCCCCTTTGTAAGCTCCTGGATCGGGATGAGGCTCGACTGTCCTGCGCAGAATTAAGCGACACAAATAGTCTCGCAGGCAAGAGGATAGCAGGCCAGAATCAAGGAAAGAGGAAAAACGAATGTTCGATGATGTTCCGATGTGCTACATAGAACAACATCACCTGATAAGGATCCCTGACATGAAGACAGCGAGGCCTGGTGACATCACTCGAGTCACGACTTGGCCTCCAAATGCCTCAATTGCTCACTCCCCTGCTGTGCGCTGTACACGCAGTCGGCGAGTAGAGCCCATCATACCCTCGAGTCATACGCACCAGCACTGATTGAATGTTTTGTGAAACATGGCTCCCTAGGTGCAGAAGGCTTCAGCTGCTCAGGGTCTAAGTGGGTTGTAGCTTTAACATTTGAATGTGCCACGAAATCAAACTCGCCCACAAACAATGGATTTCTCAAAAGGGTACGGCATGAATGATAATCAATTGATACGGCTCTTGGTCAAAGCTTAACAGGGAACCCTTATGAACATCTGAAGAGGGCATCGACACATATCGAAACAGCCAAGGGTTGGAACTTGGCCCAAACGAGCATTCTTCTATGTTTGTGGTCTCCACAGTTCTTTGCTTGCCTCAGACTTACCTCTGCTTGGTGGACTCCAAGGGTTTGGTAGCGGGTCTTAAAAAACCGTCACATTGCACCATTGTCAGAACAACAACGACATGCTTTTCCTCCGACTGAGTCGGTCTGCTTGGAACGCTTGCTCTCACGTGAGGTTTCAGAGGATGGCCCTTACTGGCGTCGTATCTTCAAAATCCAATCCAACACATGGATTCATGTGAGCGGCCCCACACCACAGCTTTCTGATTCTTCTAGAATTCTGATTCCATGTTTGTTTATCCCACCAAGCACTTTCTCCCACCAGGCTGCATCAGCCTTTCTCTCTTCTTCCGGTAAGTGTTCATCGTGCGGATCGATGCGTTCGGTGCCTCTCTGGGCAGCGGCACCCATGGATCCTCGATCGCCACCTTCTCCTGCACAGCTGCCCCAAGCATGGGGGATGTAACCATGGAGCTCACGACGAAACGATTTACCAAGCAGCTCAGCGAACGTGACAAATACCTCGGACGGGCCGTTCCTTTTTTTAGAGTTAAACATCAACATGAGGAAAGAAACACGCTTGTGCAACGTCGCTGGCAGGCAATCTTAGTTGTGTTTTTCACATGCACAAGGCAGACACATATTCATATGAATAAGCAAAAAAACAAAATGAGTTAAGATCTTTGTCAAGATATATCCCTCGCGGAACTCGGTACCAAACGTGGGAATCACTCTCAGTGCAGAACCTGAGCACCTCCGACCTCCGCTGGACAACATCACAGTACTCTCCCCTTTTTAGCAGCACCCGCGGGTGAACCCGCACGCGGGTTCCCCGCACGCAGGTTCCCCACCGCGGAACCCGCATGCGGAATCGACGCTGGAACCGGCGTGAGCGCTGATAGGGTTCTCCTGACCGCTGGTAAAAAAGGCTTCATAGACCTGCGGTTCCTGCGGACGATTTTCGCGGGCCGAGGCACCATGGATGCCGATGCCGCCAATCTCTTTGAGATTTTCTCTGGGCCCAGGTATACCGTGTAATCGATACTCAACTTTCTGTTGGCGTGAGAAACACCTCAGACCTCATGACACAAACAAGTGGATGGCATTGAGAAACTCTTTGCCGTGCTAAAAATTCCAAGCAAAACTCAGTTTCAAGAGTCAAGATCAAAGAGAGGTGTGAGAGACCACTTGAGATTTTCCAATAACTACTGCTGAAAAGGAGTAAATTAGGTGCACCGGCCACATGGATCAGAAATCTCTCGTACCTCAAGATCGCTCAACTAGCAGTCCTGCACTTGCAACACAAACCTGGAAACAACCCACGCGTCTCCCATCACCACTTGCATGCCAAACATTGACAATATTTATACAACCAGGGTAAAAAGTACTATATAATAATATAGTATTAATAGTAGCATTAATAATGATAACAATAATAACAGCAATAGTAAAGCGGAAACATAGCACCTCTGATGGCCACCATTCATTAAACCAAATCAAACCCCAGCAAATCCCCAAACTTCAACACTTTCCATGGGCGCCTGCGTGGTTGGCGGATCCTGCCAGCTCCCAACTCCAGCAGACCGGTGGTGGGATGAAGTGACCCCGGTGGTGTTCGGCACATCCAGCGAAAAACCAAGAAGTTTAACAGGGCCCAGCCAGGTTTTCTGGAACTCGTCCAAAGAGTTCAAGAAACTGGAGTAAACAAAGAGCGCAGGCCGGGCAGAAGGACGCCTTTGCAACCAAACAAGCATCTTCGACCAAAGGCCAATGCGCCCAAAAGAAAGACCAAAGAAAGGAGCACATAGGGGCGTATAGGAGAGATAGGAGCCATGGGAGGAAACAGGGCAAAAGAAACTGCAAGGCAGGAACAAACATAGTCCCCTTTCTTGCTAACTTCGGCAAAACATGGCAAACCTGTTCATATGTTCAGTGTTCGGTGGCTGACCGTGGCCAAGACTTCGGGAGCCTCAAACAAATCCAAGAGTTTGATGTGGAAAATCGCCATAGATTGGTCCAACTGTTTAATCTCTGACAGAGCCTGGAAAGTACGTCTTGTGAAGTTCAATTTACATTAATGTATGTGTATCGTATGAATAAAACATCTGTAATTTCCCTCGATTTGCCTTGTTTCATATCTTACTTCAGGATTTCAATTCATGTGTGAATTTATGTGAATTTATTGATGTGGTGTTGGTCAACCTCAACCATCCAAACACAGACTACAGATTGCCAGATTGATTGTGCAGCTTAAGGTCATAATGAAACAGTGGAAACACTTAAACACTGACCCTTCTTTAAACAGTTTGTCTTGAAAAACAGAGTTCAAGGATGATAGTTGCCTCAAAGATTGGTTTGGACAAATGTTTAAACAAAAAAGCACAAACCATAATCATATACAACAAACTATCTCGTCACTATCATCTGTGAAAGACTCGATGAACAAGACCCTGTGCATGCCATGCTTTCGGAAAAGGATGGCGAAACAAATCAAAAAATGGTCGCAATGTTCTCAACACCCAGTCCGACCCAGTCCCCTCAAAGGTATTAGGAGCGGTCGGACGCTACTAGGGGCTCCTGGCATCGCTACTAGGAGCGATCGGACGCTACTAGGGGCTCCTGGCCTTACTACTAGGAGCAAGGACGCTACTAGGAGCAAGGACTGAATCCATATGAATCCTTTGGATGTGTGTTGACAGCGACAGTTCGTCCGACAGCAGTCGGACCGCAACACACGGAGAGGGGCCAACGACTCGGGGGCCACCCGTTTCCCATGACAAACCCACCGCCGTTTCGGGGTGGCGTGGCGTGAACCGAGCGCATTCCACATTCCACGTAGCGAAAACGTTTCCACTTGACACATTTGTCGGTGCACAATCACGACATCGCACATTGAGAAAATATATTGTTGTTTCTTTTTAGCAGCGATATATATATATATGTTCCACACGTCCGCTCCGGCCAGTGTACCCTCGCACCTTTTCAA